CCCTGGCCTTGTCCTGGACAACACCTTCTTGGTTTTATATGTTTTAAAAATTATTTTGCATTTGAAAAATACTAATTTTGATTATATATATAGTAAAACTGTAAGAAATACACTTGTGCAAGTGACAAATTTGGATCAGATGTTGTGTCTTCTCTCAGGAACATAGATACAAACAATCATAACAGAAGGTAGAAAGTGTGAAAGCCTATAAGAGATACATCTCAACTGATCCAGATGTTCAAGTTGATTACTTCCAGCCCAAAAGAATCAGAAGACTTGGGTGGAGCTGAATTTGAGGAGAGTCTCAAATGCTGTCCTCCTGAAGTCACCTGAAGTCATCGTGTGTGTGTATGTGGCTGGTTGTGTCACCAACAAGATATACATTGAGGTTCATTCTTTTCTGTTTATTTTTACTCATAGGCAGTTTTATAACTTAAAATTTCTGAATATGTAAGACATTTCCTTGCCTCCAAAGTTGAGACTGTATAATAAGATGTATTCAGAGAAGTCTTGCTCTCCATCCTATCCTTCCGCTTTTACCCTCATGGCCCTACACCTTACCATTTTTGTTGCTTTTTTTAATTATCTTTTTGTCTATCTTTCTGAAAATACTGTTAAGAAATATACATTTTTATTTATCTAAGCACTCTTGTCCTTCTAGACCATTTTACAGATTTTGAACATCTTCTATTGAAGTCAAATCACTTGGTGATCTCCTTTGGAAAGGAACACTCTATAGTGGCTATATTTTCCTCTAATTACTTCATGCAATCTGTTTCATTTTTCAAATAGGTCATGCCTGAATTAAAAGATAAAATGTTTGCCACTTGGTATGTACTTGGGCTATGACAAGATAAGATGATGTAGTATTCAGGAGGCAAGCCACGAGCTTGAGGAGTTAGCTCCGTTCCATTTGCAGCTGTGTGCTGATTATATGAGCACTCAGAGCTGAGCTGTAAGAATCAAGAAGAGGAAGGGTAGTGACTGATTTGAAGAATCAACATAACACCAGTTCCCATAATTGTCTTTAGGTGTTTGTTCCTTTTGATCACATGTGAAATATGGAAATGACTGTGTTACAGTTTGTTCTTTTAAGTCCTGATGCTCTCAAATATAATTTCTCCTAAACTCTAGGTATTTATTTTTGTTCCTAATTGAGATTAATTAAATACTTGGTATATTAATTTTCTATTTCCGCATAACTAATGACCCTAAAACTTAACAGCTGAAGCCATAAACAGGTATTACTTCCCTGTTTCCCATGGATCAGGAATTTGGGGTGGTTTTGACTCCAGTCTCCATCAAGCCACTTGCCCTGGGCCTCAGCCACTGGAAGGCCTCCCCAGGGCTGGAGAATGGCCTGTGGGCTCACACGTGACTATGGGCTGGAGTCCCCACTGGCCTGTCATGCGGGCCTCTTCCTAAGGCAGATTCAGCATCCTCATGACTTAGCCTCTGGCTTCCCCAGAGCTCCTGATCTGAAAGAGAGCAAGGCAGGAGCTGCAGTGTCTCTCATGACCTAGCTGGACGTCATGTGTAGTTGTTTTCACAATAGCCCGTTAGCAGCCACCCAAGTCAGACCCACGTCAGACCCACTCAGGCTGCAAGGAGACAACCCCAGGGCAGGAGGGGCTGCTGGAGGCCACTCTTGGGCCTAGTATTTCTGGGACTTTTAAAAGAAAAGTAAGAAAGCAGAACTGTGATGTCTTATAACCACTGATGCAGCAGTGCTAGGGCGACAGCCACCCTCATACATAGTGAAAGCTCAGTGGTCTCTTTTTGGAAAGCAGGGGCTAGTTTACAGTACACCACGGGAGTCTGTTTCATGTGTGTCTCAAAAGATGCACAGAGTTGCTGAGGTTGATTAGAGGTTTAAATCTGAAGGAGAAAAGCAAGTTGCAGCTTTATCAAAGTGAGTTTTCTCCAAAACCTCGAACAAGTTCCCTGTTGAAAAATTGATGTAAAATTTGTGGAGGCACTTACAGTAGGTTTTACTTATGGCATCATTTTGTTGCCATTTAAAAATGGCTCTTGGCTTTTAAGGGCGAGTAAGTGAGCTGTTGTGAGGGAACTTGTGAACATCGAGCAGTGAGTAGCCTGCCATTTGGACTTTGATGATTCTGATGGCCGGCCTCACAGTGTTTGCACACAGTTGCTGACTAGTGAGGATCTTTAAACTTCCCCTGGTAGGGTTCTGGGGGTGGGAGGAACAGAGAAGGCAGTGTCTGAAAGTAGGAAACCACAAAGGTTGACAGTGAGGACCAGTGGCGACCCAAAGTTATTTTTACGATGATCAAATTAGGCTGAAGGATGACAGTTTGTCTTACAACTGAGGAGAAATTACATCATGTGATACCGTTATCTATTTTTTTTTATAATGTTCAAAATTAAAGCGATAATAAAAAAGTTGTTCTTAAAACTCTGCTTCCAATTACCTCAAAAGTAATGGAGCAGCTGGAACCAACAATAGCTTCCAAATTCTCCTCAGTTTTCTTGTGGATTTCAAAAGAGTTGGGAAAGGCAAGTCCCTTTAGAGCCTACATAACACCAGTCTGTATGCAGGTCAGGAAGCAACAGTTAGAAGTAGACATGGAACAACAGACTGGTTCCAAATAGGAAAAGAAGTACGTCAAGGCTGTATATTGTCACCCTGCTTATTTAACTTACATGCAGAATACATCATGAGAAACACTGGGCTGGATGAAGCACAAGCTGGAATCAAGATTGCCGGGAGAAATATCAGTAACCTCAGATATGCAGATGACACCACCTTTATGGCAGAAAGCAAGGAAGAACTAAAGAGCCTCTTGATGAAAGTGAAAGAGGAGAGTGAAAAAGTTGGCTTAAAACTCAACATTCAGGAAACTAAGATCATAGCATCTGGTCCCATCACTTCATGGCAAATAGATGGAGAAACAATGGAAAAAGTGAGAGACTTTATTTTCTTGGGTGCTAAAATCACTGCAGATGGTGACTGCAGCCATGAAATTAAAAGGTGCTTGCTCCTTGGAAGGAAAGTTATGACCAACCTAGACAGCATATTAAAAAGCAGAGACATTACTTTGCCAACAAAGATCTATCTAGTCAAAGCTATGGTTTTTCCAGTAGTCATGTATGGATGTGAGAGTTGGACTATAAAGAAAGCTGAGCATCGAAGAATTGATGCTTTTGAACTGAGGTGTTGGAGAAGACTCCTGAGAGTCTCTTGGACTGCAAGGAGATCCAACCAGTCCATCCTAAAGGAAATCAGTCCTGAATATTCATTGGAGGGACTGATGCTGAACCTGAAACTCCAATACTTTGGTCACCTGATGCGAAGAACTGACTCATTGGAAAAGATCCTGATGCTGGGAAAGATTGAAGGTGGGCGGAGAAGGGGATGACAGAGGATGAGATGGTTGGATGGCATCACTGACTCAATAGACATGAGTTTGAGTAAACTCATGTTTACTCAACATGAGTTGGTGATGGACAGGGAGGCCTGGTGTGCTGCAGCCCATGGCGTTGTAAAGAGTTGGACACGACTGAGTGGCTGAACTGAACTGAACTCCAGCCTGATCTCCTGGAAGCAAAAAATTAGTACATATTTTGTCTCATCAACACTGAGTACCCACTTTAGTGTTTTTTCTTTTGCTACTCAGAAAATTTGAATGAGAAATATAAATATATATATATATATATATATATCTCAATATGTACCATATTTAAAGGAGTAATTAGTTGAACTAGAGTAATTCAATTGAATTGGAGGAATAGGCATTTGGAAGGATTATCTTTATAATAGTTATTTTCATGAAAGTGCCATTTCTCTAAATTGGTAAATAAGCAGATTTGTTCAGGTAGGTATTTCTGAGACCTCAGGTATTGCCCCATAAACTGATCAGCAGTCTGTTTATATCCATTGGCTTCACTGCTAATGCTAAACCGTTTTCATGGGTACCATTCACAAGCCTTGAAGGTAAGGGAGACACTAGATCCAAACGGTCCTCTTCAGAAAAAAGAAATGATAATTACGTGACATGACGTATTTAAGGTATTAGCTGAAGCTACGGCAGTAATCAGATTGGAGTGTATGAATGTGTCAAACCGATGCATTGCGCGGTCAGACTTGCACAAGGTTACCTGTTGGTTATATCTCAGTTGCAAAAAACTAAGTGAGGAAAGCTTGTTGTCAACGATAAATATAATGTGAATTGTTTGTATACTTGAAATGCCTAAAACAGCAGTGGGATGCACTGTTTATGGGTATCTGCAGAAAAAATTCAAAGAACAAAAATATGGAAACACACCTGCTAGCCAGAGGACAGTGGATCCTTCTGGAGGAGGGAAGGAGAGAGACCGGAAATAAATACATTTTCTCTATACTTGAAATGATATATACGGCTCCCTGCCAAATAAAGGAACTTTGTATAAAAAAAGAAAGAAAGAGTTTGAGGACCAAATAGGAGGTCTCAGTTCAAAGCCTGCCACTCATTTACCCAAACTCCTTTCTCTCTCTACTCCTGTTCCCTTGTTTATAAAACAAGGGTCACTGCAGCTTCTTTGAAGTTGCCCTGAGGACTGAAGGACGTAATGTGTCGGAAGTACCTAGTATAACACCAAACTGCTTAGAGGTGCCAGGAACTAGTGCTTTTAAATGACTTGTGTAAGGTCACATCCCTGCCTGTGGAAGACGTAGGGTTTGACTTGCGACCTCCTGGTTCTGAGACGAGTTCCTCTTCCCTGGCTTGGGTTCTTTGAAGAAGGCAGGCACAGAGCAGCAGGCAGCTCTGACCATGGAAGGGAGCTGGAGCCCCTGCCTGCCCAGCCTCTCTCCCTGCCCTGGTCGTGGAGAAGCAGCTTGGGCAAGAGCCTTGCGGCCTGAGCTCTGCCTCTCTCTGCTCTCTCCAAAAAGCCTTTCACTGCTAGAAGAACCAAGTGATTGGGCCATCGGGTTTGTAGCTACCTGGCTTGACTCAACTGTGTGTTTTGATTTTTCCTTTTCTCTCCTTTGTTGACAGCGTCATCAGCAAAGTGGTCCCAGCCCCCGAGGCTAAGCCGGCGCCTTCTCTGAACAGACCCAAGACGCCGCCCCCCGGCCCGGCCCCCGGCCCGGTCCCCGTGCACGTCACCCCTGCCCCGGTGCCTTTGCCCCTCCTGGCCCCAGCCAGCGCACCCCTTGCCGGGATGCCCGCCCCGGCCCCTGCTGCTTCGGGAGCCGCCAGCTCCAAAGCCCCCGTCCGCAGTGTGGTCACAGAGACAGTCAGCACCTACGTGGTGAGTGGCTTTCTGTTTTGGGGAGTATTTAAGAGAAAGTCACTTAAGATCTCACTCTTTGCTCATGAAAATGTTTCCAATTAAAAAAGCAGTGTCAGATGAATCATCATTGAATTTCAGAAGCAATTCTTCAGGCCTGGAAAGGCATGTTCTATGCATTTTCAAGCTTTTGGCTGAAAAGTATTGTGTTAGGATGTCTGCATAGTTAGTCTCCATAAACAATGACAGAGCATTGTTTTTGTTACGCATCATTGTTTTGGAATATGACTATATATACACACATACATACATAAATATATATACAGCACAATCATATAAATATAGAGGTGAATAGTGACAGTCAAGCTCCTCATTGACTTTCTTGGTCAAGCAGTGATTCACTTCAGAGAATAATTAGCGTGACGTACACACATCTCACAGGCCAGCCGCTGTTTCTGAGCAGGAGTACTAATTATAGTATCTCACTGGCTGAGGTCCAGAACATATCTGGGCCTGTAGAATGAATGGAAATGAACCTGTAAACCACAGAACTTCCTGAGTCCAAGCCTGTCTTCAGGTGGAAAAACTCACCTTGACACATGTGTTCACATGGTTGTCATGAGACCGTTTTCTCATGTTTATGCCCTACTTACTAGTATCAGGTCTAACTCAAGCCCTGAATTCAGTTAAGTAACAAATAGGCTCTTTGGGCTCTGTAGTGTGACACACGAGCACATGACAAAAAGATTTCAGGCACATAGAGGTCCTCAGTGAGCTAACACTGTGAGACCACCGAGTATGTAGACTGAGATGTGTCAGCCTGGTGGCGGCTCGGATCTTTTAGAATAGATGTGCTTGGGAGGCGACAGACTCGGACCCCTGCCGTTGTCGTTACAAATCATGCAAGTATTACTTTTCTACACGGGCATTTTGAAAGGAAATTTCAGTGAATCATTAAGTGTTTGAGGCACTATCATGATGCAGAGGATAAGAAGAAAGTCTCAGAAGTCTTCAGAGAGGATATAAAGACATGAACTATTAACGAGAAAATATTAAATTGGCAATTCAAGACAACAGTGGAAGACATGGTAGAAAGATCTGTGGTCATTAAATCAGTGCATTCAAGGACCAGTTGCCACAGGTGTTTAATTGAGGCCATGTCACCCCAAGATGGGTAAATCGGGGAGGACTTTATGCTTGATCTTCCTGACCTCCATTTCTTCAACTATAACCAGGGATTGTTAGACTAAGTGGTCCCTGTGGTGTGTTCTAGCTCTAAAATCTGATTCTCCAGTGGATTTTTGAGTCAATTCCCTGGAGATAGATCAGACTTACATAGACAGCATAGACGAAAAGCCTCTGTCCCCTCAGAGACATCTTGTAGACAGAAGACAAAATGTGTGATTTAAAGGAAGGACACAGGCTGATTTTGTTGCTGCCCAATCTATGACACTGAAACTGTCACTGACATTCCTTCAGCTCCAGTTGCCCCATTTCTAACCTACCCAAGCACTGTTTTAGGAGGATGAAACCAAGTCAGGTATTTTCGAAAGAGCTTAGTAAACTGCGAGGGGCTGGGCGCTGTAGCAGATTTCTCATGTTGCAGGGTCACAGCCTCCTAATTTCAAGAATCAGCAGCAGGACAGGGCATGCATGGCAGCTTCGGGGCACAGGTTACTGGGCTGGCCTTCACCCCAGACAGCTGGCACAGGCCGACTGATGGTCTCTGCTTGAAACTGGAGACTAGGACCGAGTCGGGGATGTGGCTGCCCACAGATTTGTCCAGGAAGCCTTCACAGCCTGTCTGCTCTTGCAGAGACTTTCCAGAATGGCAGACCTTAAAATAGTTAGAATTCCGTGAGTTGGAATGAACCGTCTCTGCCCCCCACACACCCGTCACACACACACAAAAACCGTTTCTCTCCTGCACATCCAGTCAGTGTTGTATCTGAACGCACCAGGAGAGACTGCAGCTTGCAAAATCAACGGAATGAAATTATATGCTGTGTGGTCAGCAAAACTTTAAAAAATTAACTCATAGTTATTGCTGGCTTTGAAAGCCTGTCATAGAATTGTCTCTTCCAGATTGGTCTTGTTCATGTGGAATTTGAGGAGGTGGTTCAGTTAGGAATGCTTCTTATTTGGAACTTCTAAGTCAAATCCAGAGCACAGCATATTTGTTGCAAAATAACGTGAAAACGCGTGGCTCTTTGGCCTCCTGCGTCCCTTATTTCATTTGCCCTTTAGTTGATTGTACTTTGCTAAAAATGTCATAAAGGGAATGGAAAGTTACTTAGTAACAACTCTTTTATATCCTTGATCTTATCAGCCAGTTCAGGAGGAGGGTTTGGCTAATAAGTAATAAGGCGATATATGCACATAGGCCATACTTATTGATTCCAGACCTGTGAATGCAATGGAGGGAACAACACAGAGTTGAACTAGGTAGCTTTCAGAAGTATCAGGCATTACTAGTCATTCAGAACCTATGTGTTTCAGTATTTCTTTAGATAAAGGTGACTGTAGGTCAAGTGCTCACAGAAATGATTATCAAATGTTTTGTTTTTATGACTTTGAAAAGACAGTTTAAAATAGTCATTAGAAACGTCTTGGGAGTTCCCCGATGGGCTAGTAATTAGGATTCGGCACTTCCATTGCCAGGGCCCAGGTTCAATCCCTGGTCAAGGAATTAAGATCTTGCAAGCCATGCAACGTGGCAAAAAAAAAAGAAGAAGAAGAAGAAAGGTCTTATCATTGAACTCTAAGTAGCATTTTTTTTTCCATATGATCCCAGGATAGTGAGGACCATGATCACAGCTTTAATAAATTGTTAGCTCCTGGGTTTTTCTGTCTGTTCATTTAGTCTGTCAGTTTATTAGCTCCACAGTGTGTAGTCATCCTTATCATGCCCTTTTTGGGATTTCTTTTTTCTCAATGCCGCTCTCGTTTCGCCCACCCCAGATCCGAGACGAGTGGGGAAACCAGATCTGGATCTGTCCGGGCTGCAACAAGCCCGACGATGGGAGCCCCATGATCGGCTGTGACGAATGTGACGACTGGTACCACTGGTGAGTCCCCTGCGGGGCACCGGGGGAGAGGCTCAGGACACGCGTGGCACCGGCCAGTGCAGGCTCATCTCCCAGAGCAGCTCATTTCCTGGGAGGAGCATCTGGAGCAGAATCCCTGTGCCAAGAGAATGGCATTCGTATTATTGGCAAAAAATTAGTCTTTAGACTGTGGCTCTTCAGCCTAAATTCTGAATGTGTCGCTTAGCTCAGTATTCTTTAGAAAGGGAAAAGGAGATGTGGGGGTTGGTTCCCTTGCCTTTTTGTCAGTCATTCTCTGCAGCAGCTGCGGAAGCACCGCGGGAACCCCGTGAACACCACCGTAAAGTGCCGAAGTAAAGGGGCAGCCTGAGTGCTCCCCACAGCTGCCTTCCCCAGACGGAAGGGGCAGCATCAGGGTGCATGCAGACAGCCCTGCTGCTCTGTCTTGAAAATATCAGATATGAAAAGATAGACATCCGCTTAGTCAGGTGCTGTGGGATATCTCTGAGATAAAAACAAAGCCTGGCTCAGAGGAATTAGACTGTTTCTGGCTGAAAGGATGAATGAGCTAATTAATGTCTCCAGCAGAGCCTGGGGAAGGGGCTTGTGTAAGGTGATCACCCACTGGCCCAGCGGGAGTGCAGCAGCATCTGACCGCCAGAGCTGGTGACTTGGGTGTCTGGTAAATGCACCTTGAAAGTGAAAATCGCTCATTCGTGTCCGACTCTTTGCGACTCCATGGACTATACAGTCCGTGGAATTCTCCAGGCCAGAATATTGGAGTGGGTGGTAGCCTTTCCCTCCTCCAGGGGATCTTCCCAACCCAGGGATCGAACCCATAAACCTAACAGATTATTGAATGATGTGAAATTCCTGGAAAACGTAGGACAAGAAGATGTGTGTCTCTGAAGCCAGTTTGTCTGACGCTCCTCTCGCTTGGTTCCCGTGTAGGCCCTGCGTGGGCATCATGGCCGCGCCCCCGGAAGAGATGCAGTGGTTCTGCCCCAAGTGCTCCAACAGGAAGAAGGATAAAAAGCACAAGAAGCGGAAGCACCGGGCGCACTGATGCCTGGAGCGGGGCTGCCCCCGCCCGCCGCCACCGCGCCGCCCGCCCGGTCGCTGAGCCCGGCCAGACTGAGGACAGACACACGCGCCCACCCCCGGGGGCTTTGCCGGGGCCCGGCGAGGGCCACGTGGTCACCCCCGCAGAAGAACTCTCACGCGGGGGGGCCTCGCCTCCGCTTCCTGTTACCAGTGACAAGTATTATTAATAAAAAGACTATAATCTCTCCTTTCGATTTTCCTCAGTTCTCTCCAGGGCCTTTTCCTTAAGGTGTTAGCTGAGAAGATGGCGTGTGGCCCGCCCCGACCCGACCGTGCCGAGGGTGACGTGGGTCGGCTGTATGTGTCTCCAGCCTCCTCCCCTCTGTAGTCAGATAATCGTAATCACATGAAAGAAAACTCCAGGGGGAGTGTCAGTAAATATTTTTGTGATGAAAAATATATGAAGCTTCCCCCACCCCACCCCCTGTTTTTAGTACTAACATGTAAAATGTTCAGGCTTTTTGTGAAATACCTTATATTTTTTAAGAAAAAGGTTTCTATCATGTCCTGTTGGCTCTCGTGCAAGTTGTTTTTGTTGACTCTCTCACCTGTCCTCTCTCTCTCTCTCTCGTCCGCCGACTTTGCCCGTTCCTCCAAACTGCTGGCGGTCTTCTCATGGCTTACCCATCTCATCAGCTTGTATGAAAACTCTGCGCACCAGGAGATCTCCCCTAATGTAAATAATAAATATTTATGAAGTAGTTCTTTTTAAAAATTTTTTATCGTGTTTAATTCTGGCTTTCTGTGAAAACGCGCTGCGGTTTCAGCCACGTCTGTAATTACTGCTGTACATAAGCAAAGAAGGCTGGAAAAAAAGAGCCATACCTCAGTTTAAAGTTACCTACCTTGAGCTGAACCCTCTCGGAACACTGGGGGGAGGACCTGAGCAGTTGGAAGGAAAACAAGGCAATTTAAATCTATGGCTTATGATTTGAAACTGTTATCTCTTCTATTTCTGTAAATTTCTTTGGCTTCCTTTTGTTTCAAAGGACATGTAGATTCCTCGAAAGTAAAAAAAAAAAAGAAAAAATACTGTAGCATTTTGTGTTTATATTGTTTTATTTCTGCAAATCTGTTCATTGATATTGTGGTTTAAGGCTGAAATGAAGTATATTATGCAATTTTTTTTTTTAAAGAAAACTCATCAAATTTCAGGGTATCACAAAACTTTATTATATTACTATACTGCCCACTATTTATTATATGTTAATAGATGTCTGAGAGATAAACCAAATATTTTATTTTTAATGTAAAACATCAAATTTAATTTTATTAGCATATTTTAGCAACTTTGGAATAAATATGGACTTTTACTTGATTTTGAAATAATCCCAAGTTGGGCCAGTGTAATGGATATCTTGAATGCTAGACTATGGGCTTTGAACCTAATACAAATATATTAATAGAAATTGTGATTTTTAAAAAAAAATGCCAAGTAAATTGATATTAGTGTATGAATTAATCATATTAAGGTTTTCTGCCATGAATGTTCAATTGCAGATCAGTGTCACCCTCTCGAGTGCAGTATTTCATTGCCCTCCTTGTTCTAGAAGCCAACGTTTTTCTATGCCTACAAAGAAAGCATCTATGTTGAGATACGTGGTTTTGTTCTATTAATTTCAGATCATCCTAAATACTTTATACAATATTTTCACATGCACAGAATCTTCCCCATTAGTGCTTTTTGGAGAGGGATGAGGGTGGGGAAGTGCAAAATAAAGGATTATTGGCTATTTAATAGTTTGCTTTTCCATTTTCTTTACTTAGGATTTAGTTCCTCAAGGCATGGTCAATGGATCTGACCTTGCCACATCTTAAGTGAGCTGGTCACGCCACTGAAATCAGAACGCAGTGCCCATATAGAACTTTCCCCCAGTCCCGCTGTCTGAGAGACCTCAGCCCACAGGACACTGAAGGAATTTCAATCAGTTCGTTGTCTTTTGCTATTTCATGGTTGCTTTCCTAAATCCAGTTCATGATTTTATAAATGGCCTTTGCAATAATAAAACCAAAGAATCATTTTCAGGGGGCCGAAGAGCTCGGGGGATTAGTAATGGAATACAGAGCCTTTCACCTCTGGGTCAGTGAGCTGAATCCATCCCAGGTCACCAGAGACTCGGAGTTGTTACCATCTTCTGACTGTTCAGCGGCCTGTGTGAAATGGGCTGGTGGTCTCAGTCTCTACAGGGTGGCTAGCTGTACTCCAACCAAAAGGGGTCCAAGAAACTGCAAGAGGAAATGTGGATTAGAGAATAAAACCCCGGTGTTCCGAAAGTTAGAGTTAGAAAGCTGGGCTGAATCACCCCACATAAAGTTGCACTGAAGAAAAAGAGTTTTACAGACGTCACAAAGAGGATGCAGATGAATTCAGTCACCCCAATGCAGTCAAACTAAATAGGGAAATGAAAAGCCTGTGTTGGACGAGAGAAGGAAGGGTTATGTTGGGAAAGATGTTGGTTTTAATCAGGAGAAAACCTTGAGGGGACCCATGCAATAGAGAGTGGGTTTTGGGGGGTTTTTTTGACTGGAAAATTCAAGGCATTTTTTTGGTCTTGTTTTAAAAACTTTTTATTTTGTATTGGGGCATAGCTGATTAACAATGTTGTGGTAGTTTCAGGTGGACAGCAAAGGGACTCAGCCATACGTACACAGGTATCCATTCTCCCCCAAGCTCCCTCCCATCCGGGCAGCCACATGACACTGAGCAGAGTCCCCTGTTCAATACAGTAAGTCCTTGTTGGTTATTCACTTTCAACACAGCAGTGTGTGCATGTCCATCCCAAACACCCGAACTGGCCCTTCTTGCCCCACCCTCCACAACCATAAGTTCATTCTCCAAGTCTGTGAGTCTCTTTGTTCTGTAAGTTCATTTGTATCATTTCTTTTTAGAGTCCACATATAAGGGATGTCATGTGGATACTTCTCCCTCTCTGTTTGACTTACTTGACTCAGTATGACACTCTCTAGGTCCATGCATGTTGCTGCAAATGACATTATTTCATTCTTTTTAATGGCTGAGTAGTATTCCATTTCCATATATACATGAAATATATATATATATACACACCACATCTTCTTTATCCGTTCATTTATTGATGGACATTTAGGTTGCTTCCATGTCTTGGCTATTGTAAACAGTGCTGCATTGAACATTGGGGTGCACGTATCCTTTCAGATCATGTTTTTCTCTGGATGTGTGCCCAGGAGTGGGATTGCAGTGTCATATGGTGGCTCAATTTTTAGTGTTTTAAGGAACCTCCCTACTGTTCTCTACAGTGGCTGTGCCAATTTACATTTCCACCCACAGTGGAGGAGGGTCGAAAGAGAGTGGGTTTTGACTTTTGAGGGAGAAAAAGGTCACAGAGCAGCAAGCGTTGGAAAGACTCCCGGGACTGAGAAAACGTGATGTAAAGGCATAGAGGGTGTTTCCAGTGGGAGTGGGACACGTTCCCCTCTGACCGCCAAGCTGCTTGTCTTCTGAAGGTGTCTGCACCGAAGCGCAGCCAGGAGCCCTACCCTCCAGATGATTTGCGGCTCCAAACATCCTGCAGAAAATCAGAGGGCATTGGAGCACTCTGGCCCTGTCGGGCTTTTCGCACAGATAAAACATAGTGCCTCACTCTGCAGTATCACCTCACCCGCCTTTGTTCTCCCTTGAATAGGACGATTCAACAAAGACTCTAGTAACCAAATTAAAGTATAAAAGGAACACTGAGATATGGAAACCCGGCCGGTGAGAATGCTAATGAATGAAGGCCACTAAAGGCGCGGGATAAGTTCTCAATACAAATAGTTCTATGGCCAATCTCTCCAGATCATAGCAGTCTCCTTTAGAAGTCCAAGTCTAGAAGTAGATAGTCGTCCCAACTGAAGAATGAAACAGATAATGCTCTGAATAACATCTCTCCACAATAGTATAGGTCATTCTCTTCGGAAACTCTTTGTTTGAGAATCCTGCGCTTGTCGCGGCCTAAAATATCTAAAGAAACTATTAATCCCCAAGTGCCGGCCAGGAGGTGACACTGGGAATCAGATATTCCGGCGGACAGCTGAACCTTTTCCTCTTCCTATCAGGGAAACACAACATTTAGTTTACACGTGAGGTAGTCAAACAACCACTGGTTACCTTTTTTCATTCCAGATCGCTCAGCTTTTAGGTTAGTTTCTAGAAGGACAGTTGGAAACACTTGGATTTGTTTGTTCAACGTTAGCTGGACACGCTTCATGGAAACCGCAGAAAGTGGCAAATGTGCGTTACACCCAAGTTCAATTTTCCTCTGCCATCAGGCCTCCGCTTTGTACTTGTTCCCACAATATTCTGTGTATTGACTTGGATTTCACTGGCTCCTGAAGCCCCTTCTGTGTGAGTTCTTTCTCCACTTCTCTCCACATCACCTTTCTATTCATCTTAGACTGCAGCAGCATTTCATATGGATACAGCATTATACTTTGAAATGTTTATATTTAGAACAAAATATTGAAAAGTTTAGCAAACAGTTACATTAACTATTCTGGGAACTAGCAGAGTTGACAATATATGAAAAAATGCATCTCTTTGTAAAGAGATGGATGCCACAAGACATAAAAGTGTGGGGTTTTCAGAGCGGAACCATTTTAGATATTTTGCCCTTAGCAATTATCTCCTACCTATATCCTTGGAACCTAGTCAAGATTTTGTTAATCTTTTGAAGTTTTTGCAGAGTTTTTTTTTTTTTTTCTTTTTTGGCTTGGTCTTATTTTTGATTAGTGAAACGTTTAGAATGAAACCATCTTACACAAAACTACACAAAACTGAAGACTCTGTCACAAAGCTGGCCTTAATTAGTTAACTACTGCCAAATTCAATGGTTTGAAGAAAATGTTTGTTCTGCTTCTAGGGCCTCATTTAAATCTATAATAAAAGTAATCATCAGTAGTAATTCAGTTACAGATCTAAACACAATTTGAAAAAAGACACATAAAGCAGAAAATATGAATTTAATGCATGCAGCTCATCAACCATCCTATATGCACTCCAATGGAGGGCCATGGATCTGGCCAATTCTATTCAATTTCTAAATTCAATTCCAGTTTCTAAACATTGGTGAAAAAAAATACAATAAGTCAAAAATATTGTTATGATACCTCCGACAAAATTTGGCTTAGATTGTTCTTCCTGGAAGTGAGCTTGATTCCTAGCAGTCAGGGAGGTAGCCTGCCCATATCACAAGGAAGGTCACCGTGTGGCCCACCTAAATGTTTCAGATTCAGATTTTCACAGTTCTGTGCTATGCTCTGCCCAAAGCGAAACCGAAATACTAATAACTTCACCCGTGGCCTGTTTCCACGTGAGGGGTTTATGGAGAATGGCACTGGAGAGGTTGTTAGCTGAGCTTTGGGAAAGTTGCATTCTGCACGTTCTGCGGCAACTTCCTTGAGAAGCTCTGATTGCCTCCCTGAGCGTTCAAAGTTCAGGAAAAAAAAGCTTTTCCTCATACTTTAAAAAACTATACAGGTGTTTGTACATGTTTTTTCCTCTCTTGTCATACTTCCTTGGTGAGACCACATTGCTGCTGCTGCTGCTGCTAAGTCGCTTCAGTCGTGTCTGACTCTGTGCGACCCCGTAGACGGCAGCTCACCAGGCCCCCCCATCCCTGGGATTCTCCAGGCAAGAACACTGGAGGGGGTTGCCATTTCCTTCTCCAGTGCATGAAAGTG